CTTGACACAGTTGCTTTTGGCAAATCACAAAAAGAAAACTCTTTTTATTGGGTTCTTTTATTTGGGGTTAAGTACATTGTCAGAATAAGTGAGAAATGGATTTAACTTCTGTTAGACAGCTATATGCCATACATTTTTGCATACATTCACAGTAAATATTTATTCAGTATGATCGCTGTCTAACAGAAGTTAAATTCATTTCTCNTTTCTTTGCCTAGTTACAGCGGGTGTCTCACATTACCCGGTGTCCCACATTACCCCGCTCTCCCCTACAGGTGACTGCACACACACAAACAAACAGGCATGCGTTTGCATCCACACTCACACCAAAACACACTGGCTCANGTTATTATTATTACAACGTGACTTCACTATTATTTAACAACTATTTTTATTGGGTTCTTTTATTTGGGGTTAAGTACATTGTCAGAATAAGTGAGAAATGAATTTAACTTCTGTTAGACAGCGATCATACATTTCTCACTTATTCTGACAATGTACTTAACCCCAAATAAAAGAACCCAATAAAAATAGTTGTTAAATAATAGTGAAGTCACGTTGTAATAATAATAACTAATCTCACGAGTTTTCTTTTTGAGCTTTGCCAAAAGCCACTGTGTCAAGTGTCCTACTTGGGTTTCAAAATGGCGGACCATCTCGCACATGCGCACTGCAGATCGGTTAGGTGATTAGGTGATCGGGAGTCCACAACTCTGCAGAATCCTATGGGTGATGTCACGGACCCTACGTCCATTTATATATACAGTCTATGGTCACTACCCGATCTGTCCCCCTGCTCGATCTGTCGGAGGACTGCACTCCTGTTGACACGGACAACGTCAGCTAACTAGTGCCCACTCACTGCCCACCAGCCACCCCCCGATACATGGGGTCACGCCAATCACAAAGCTTTGATGCGTTCAAGTGCCCAAGATTATGTTATAGGACATTAACGATAAAACAGAATAATATTGTTCTATTTTTAGACACATCTCACGATCGACTGGGAATCTCAGTCGATCGCGATCGACTGGTTGAGCACCCCTGCTCTAGATGTAATGCCTGATATATTACAATTAAAGATTGTATGCTGTATTGGCCCAATATTCAAAAATGTGGTTTAATAGGTTTCAATGGCTTCATTTTTGTTCTAGCTGTCTTTCTTTCAGCTACACAGTTAATTATTGACTGATTTATAAAAGACCCACGTGCTGGCCATCAAAGCACAACTCTTACTTTGTTATGTTTCTGTGTTCCAGGCGGCAGAGTAAACCCCATGAAGATATAATGGGCATCCAGAGCAAACCTGCTGACCAGGTTACGGGCAGCTCTGGTCTGGCTCAGGGCAAAAGTTTCCTCCTCAACAAATTCTCCTCCCTCAACCAGAAAGTCAAACAGACCAAGACAAACGTAAACATTGGCCCCTTCAAGCCCCTCGGGAGGCTGGGAAACTTCTCTAAACCCGATGTAAAAGTAAATTTCCTGAAGCCAACTATGCATGTCAACCTGTGGAAGTCAGACAGCAGCTTGGAGACATCGGATAACAACTCCGCAGCAGCCCTGAAAGACATGGCTGACGGCCACTCTGAAATCTCCGACGACTCTGACTCCTATAATTCCGACACAGAGCTACCGTGTTCTGGCTCTTTAGAAAACGTGGACTATGTTCTTCCCAGCTGCGGCATTGTAGCATCGCACCCCCGACTGGGCAGCCGCTCGCAGTCTATCGGCAGCGTGGAGCTAAATGTCCCCTCTGCTATCAGGGTCACTGGCTGCGACGGGAAGCAGGAGAGCCCCTCTCAAGACAGCGACGACAAGTCCCCAGGGGACGCCTCGGTGGCAGAAGAAGCCATTCTGATCGACTTTGGTACTCCCATTGATGCCTACTGCCACCAGTTTGTCCAGGATGCACAGACCAAACCTGTGGAGGTGTTTGGAGAGGTCCCACCAGCTGCCGTCCTCACGGTGCCTGTGCAGAATAAGACCCTAGCAGACGCTGAGAAGCAGCCCAGCTCCGAACCACCGGCCCCGGAAGAGCCCCAGCTCCCAAGGCCCTCCAAGCTAGACGTCGACTCCACTACCTCCAGCTCCAACCACCTCTCCGTCCAGAAGCCCAGCTCCGCGGCCTCAGGAGGCTCTCAGAGGAGCCTTTGTTCCCAGATGGAGGGCAGCCTCTGCCCCTCACCCGCAGACAGCAACGGCAGCCGAGTAGTCTCCCCCTTTGCCAAGATCAAGAGCTCCATGGTCCAGGTGGCCAGCCTCACCCAGGCGGGACTCACCCAGGGCATCAACTTTGCCGTGGCGAAGGTCCAGAAAAGCCCGGAGCCAGATACTGTCAACGAAGCCCAAGAGAACGAGCTGAAGGCAATGTTTACACAGTGCCAGACCAGGATCATTCAGATCTAGTGCTTTCCTTGTAGCAGGATGTTGTAGTCGTGTAGGAGCCTCCTGTATGGTAGCAGTAACAAAAGCTTGCACTTAGCGTCACTACTCGGCCAAGAAATGCGCTGTTGAATTTGCCCTTTAGTTAATCCTGCCTGTGTTGATGACTATTGTACAGAATTTAGAAATATAAACCGAGGCCTAACATGACAGTGACCATGTTTACATGCACATAATTATGGATTCCTTGTTCTTAACAGAGCACTGATTATCTTGTCTAGCTTTTTGATCTAATGACGGTTAGCTCATATCCATTTTTGCCACGCAACACGCGCAATGTCAGGAGTTATGATTCCCATGTTCCAATTTTATAGAACATTTGATATAAATAAGTGTATGTACATCCAAATACTATATAAATCTAGAAATAGCGCTGCCGATTAAGTGCATAGTTTGTGAATTTTTGCAAGGAAATTCTTATCATGCTCAACTTAAGACATAAATAACACGTTTTTAAGATATTTTAAACCGTACGTCCAAAGTGGTATGCAGAGTATTTTTGTGCATGTAAACATGACACTAAAGTAATTATACCCACAGTGCTTGCATGTGAGGTTAAGGCTAACTGAGTTTAACAAGGCAGGTTGATAGTAGCTGTACGTTGAAAGACCAATCTGACTTTATCTTATACCGTACGTCACCCTGTATGTGCAGGTCACTTATCGGCGTTTGTGATATAGATCTCGTAATAACCTTCGATTTGTAACATGTTGTTGTAGAACCCGACCAAAAATCTTTTGGGATTTTCCTCAAAGGACAATTGTGTGTTAACGCTCCTTTGCATAGCTTTCAGAAAGTAGCCAGACGACATACTGTACGTAGTTCTCCTATGTAAAATCAATGTTGTCACATGTAAATTAGAGGATATACCTTTCTAGAAATCATGAATACACAAGACCTTAGTAAGAGTTTCCTGGTTGTTGATATGTACAGTGAGTATCGTATCTGTTCCCTGAGTAGAGCCTTCCTTTAAAGCGTTTTTGTATTGATGGTAGGGTGGCATCTTAACGTGTTCAAAGAGGTATGAGAATTATATTTTGAAAGGAACGCCCAGCACTGTCCATACTGACCCTGAATAACCAGAAAACTGCTGGTTGGAAATTGATTTTGATAGATCCGATAATGGTTGTACTTTATGAGGGATTGTTTGAGTCCTCGGCCAGCGTTGTACATTGACGTCGCATGTCAGGAGAGTAGCATATAGTAGTTATATATGCAATTGCACCCATCCAATTATTCGAAACACTGACGCTTTATGCACTCCCTAAACTGAAATCTTATTTGCCTTAACAGGGAATTGAAGTGGGATTATGTATATCAGGTATTTATGGCAAAATCTACCTTTTTAAAGTCCATTCTTTACATGTTACATTGTTGTACTGTATTAAAAAAAAATCATGTTCAGGGTTTTGTCATCAAGCTTTATCTAGGGATATTTCATCCACGGGCACAATCGTTCTCCATGGAAATGAGCGGGTTTTTGGACATGTAAAGCAGTGGGTTGGAGTGTGTATGCTGCTGGTATTTGGGAGCTTAGAGTCCTAGTTATATTTATATGCTATAAAGCCGTAAACATTGTTATATTGTACATGTCGTTCCGTTAACCTCAAATAGAGAGGTTTCACCCGTTAAATGTTACTGTCCTCCTCCACCACCTCATCACGCTGCTGTGTATATCCGTGTCTATTTATGATAAATAATATTAAGATTTGCTTCAAGATGAAATATCCCAAGATAAACGGTTGCACGTTTCATATTTTTGTGTTCTATTTGCCTGTTTTCTTCAGTCGGCTTGCTCACCAGCAAATACTTGTATATTTGATTGACTACAAATATGGTCAGGGACATTATATAGTTATGACCTGCTGATAGAGTGGTGCTGCCAAAGCTTTAGGGTGGAATGCAGAGGTTGGAAGGTGTTTTTCTTTTTTTAATATTAACTGCAGGACATTGGAGCAGTTCTCAAGCAGAGCAGAAACGTATTTCTGTCCCAAACTTGCTGTGTTTATTTCAAAGGAACAATAATCCTCAACATTCCCGATATAGACCACAATGCAACAGTCTTGGTGCCTGGTTTTATATGCAACAGATGGCATAGCTCTATATGATCCTATATTTGCTGGGTGAGATTTTCTCCTTTCCGTTTTGTTTTTACACCAAGTGCTTTGCAACCACCTCTTGATTTTTTTGTCTGTGGTTGACCTCCCCTCTTAATAGGACCCCTGACCATGACAAAAAAAAACATGTGACTAGAGGTCTTAAAGCATTTGATTTGCACTGTTTTAGCACATTTTCTAGCATTAGTACCATATCATCTGAATGTCCGTACTCATTACTTTCCTCTTTACCAACTGACTGTTGTCATTGTTTTCCAGGGTGTACTGAGATTGTATTGTATATTAAAGTATCCTATTTATTCTTATCCTCTTTGGGTGTGTGTTACTTGATAACAAAATGTATACTGACTAAAGAAATAATTCAGACTGTTTAAAGTGAAGGTATATCTAAATCTCATTTGCATCTCAGTTCTGTAAATAAGTTGAATATGACGTAAACCATGACATATGAAAAACATCTTTATTACAAACTTTTTTAGGTATCAAAAAGAAAAACAGAAGGCGTCTTGTTTCCTCGCGGTGTGATCACGGCTCGTTGCCGTTCAGACACTTCTGCTGCTCCACGCGGCTCCTGCGCAGCACCTCGATGTGTTTGGCCCTCAGCCAGCTGTCAGTGCAAAGAGACGTCAGCCCCAGGCTCAGAGACAGCAACCTGCAGACACACCGTCAGTCAGACACACAACTACACCAAATACTGGGAGAACAAAACAGTTTCCTGGCCTCTGTCAGACAAACACCAAGTCAACGTATTTCACAACTCTTTTGGTTGCATTCACCCTTAAAGTGAATGTCCCTGCTTATGTCATATCTGGCATTTCCATTGTTGGTCATGATGTCTTGTTGTTTAACACTTCTTTGAAAGAAGGCTTTATATACTGTTGTTTATTATTCTCACTAGATAAAAAGTTAAGCAATGCCAAAAAAAGGAGCTTATATAAATGTAATCCTTGTGCATCTACATTTCTGGCTTTTCAGTGTGATCGATCATTATAGCGGTGTTATTGATAGGGTAGGGTGTGAGCTTTAACCTCAGCTCCCATAAAGGACCCTAAAGCTGTATGATCAACATTATTGGTTTTAACTTTTGCATGCATTCTATTATATCGGGCTTTCAACCAAGAGCCCTGGCTTCCAAAGTCTTTTCGGTACTTTTTTATACCATATCGAGACACTTTGTCATGTTAGAGCTATAGAGCAAACACATGCCATTATCCTGGCTATTGTCTTATGCAATGCATCAAAAATCTAATCATTGACATATCACAGACTTCTAAAAATCCCTTAAACATTCACTCTACAGAAAGTACTCCCTTTTCTTTGGTGGCATTATATAAACACATTTTAAATAGTTTGGATTTCGAAAAATCAATGAATATTTAGTAAAGACAGTTAAAGATAATTCATATAAACTTTATGGCTGTATTTGACCCAGAAGTTTTTTCTCCTCATTAAATGAAATGTAGGTGGAATGGTTATTGACAGCCCACCTCGACACGACCAGCATACTGTGGAGGTCCTCAGCGGAGACGCTCCGAGGGTCGTCCTTCCTCATATCTACAAAGTCATCCTCAACTGACTGAGGACAGCAGAAAGGAAAAGGCAGTTAAAGGACACTGAGGCGGACAGATGATAACTCACTGCTAATTCAATGGAAACACACAGGCCTGATGGGAACAACTACCCTTCGAAACAATTAATTACACTGACTTTGATTTGTGACTGCTGCTTATTTCCCCATGGCACTCACCTTTGTCATTTCGTCAGAGATGCTGTAGTCCAGCAGCCGAGCCACGCTCAGGTACATCCTGAACTTGTTGAGCTGTGAAGCCTGCGGGTGCATGTGCAAGCTGCTCAGATACTCCTCCATGTTGGGGGGGGCGACCTGAGACTGTAGGTGTATCTGGCAGTCCGACTGTGGAGATAGAGGAAGAAATGTTGGCATCGTGTAAGGGAAGAACTTCACCTTTTTACAGGTGTTGCTATACATATCAAGCTCTGCATGCTGTTTGCACACGCTTATTCTGACAGGCGTGTGCACATTTAATATCAGGCCAGACAGGAGCAAAGCGCTCCGACCGTGAAGCTCTGCAGCAGCTGGAGGGTCAGACTGATCATCAGCTGATAGTGTTCACTGTAAACACAGGCGGGCACATCTAACCAGCCTGGGAGTTGTTTACGGCGCGCTGCCCTTCGCTGCACGACTAATACAGTGCCGAGCCTGCCGCCTCTCCCAGGATTGTTCCTGTGGCACACAGCTGCCGCCATGGCAACACGTTAGACCAACACACAGGAATAGCACACAGCACATTCCTCAGGCTGTTCGCAACAGAGTGAGACCCGGGCTAAAGCCTCCGCCGCTTGGGTTGTTGCTGCGGCCAACCAATGACAGCGGCCGGAGACAACCTCCAGCGTCAGACGCGTCTCACGAGAGCCTGCAGGAAACCTAACCCCCTCCCTGGCCGTGCCATGAGATTTGTTCTGTCCTGCGGTTGCACGCCCCATCCCTCTTTGTCCTCACCGGCAGCAGCGAGCGGCCCTCTGACACGGTGAGCACGTTAATATTGCAGGGGAATTCCATCTGGTGGTAATTAAAGTCATAATCAACCTTCTGCCACGAGATCAGGTTCCCCAGGGCTGTGATGTTATGCACACCTACAGGACAAAAACAAAGAAAACAAATCTGGTTTGTGTCAGAACACTCAAATCACACTAACAGAGGCCGCAGTTGGACATTATCTGCAGCGGTCGTCCTCTCAGTGTCGTCCCCTCGTGGAGTCTAGATGCCTCACCTGTCGTGTCCAGCTGTCCCTGCTCCAGCTGGATCTCGTCCAGGAACAAGGAAGTGTGTTTGGCCAGCTGCAGGGCTCCGCTCACTAGCCGGTTGGCCACATAGTCCTTCTTTGGCACGAACTTCATCTGGTTCATATTCTGGAGGCTCATGGCTAGATAGAACGACTGCAGAGGGGGAAACAACTTTTAGTGTCTTACATTTAAACCCAACATTAGTGGATAGAAAAGTAGTGGCGGTTGCTTGGATTCACTCACAGAAGGCACCAGCTGCTGGATGACCTGGTAGAGGCATTCAGTGTACGAGGAGACCGTAGGACAGCCACTCAGGTTCAAGGAGAATTTTCCCAGAGGGAGAACATCCCTTCTGCTGTACCTACAAGAAACCAACCATAATGTGGAATTAAAAATACCTCTTTTGGCTTTCAGGAAGACACAAAACAAAGATAGGACGGTTGAACATTCCAGACTGAACTTCACATACACGTTAGAAATGAGATGCAGGATGAGATACTCGGCAGCCAGGGCATCTCCCAGCAGGATGTGAGTGAAGTATGTGAGCAGCTCCGCCCTGACAGCAGCCATCTCGCTCAGGGTGGACGATAAAACTGAGGAGGAAGGACAGAGAGTTACAACAGGTCTCTATGGTAACTGAAGGCATCTGTGGAGGACATTCACAACATTGTTACTCTTGTTGGACATTTTCACAGGAGGGATGAATTTCAAAAAGAATGGCCTCTTTTTTCTGTTTCCACAGAGCAAAGGGCCATAGATCATTTGACTTACTAACAATGTATGATGAGCATTTGTTTAAATGTGGGTTTTCATAATAGCTTAGTTAAGTGTGGCACAGAGAAAGCTATTAACCTATTAGTTAGTATTAGATTTCATCTTAAAGAGCAACTTGCAGGTTAAACACACCAGTGAATAAATGTGTAGGAAAATGATGAATACACTAGATGTTAGAAAAAATATACAGAAGTATACAGTGACATCTGGCGTCGTTTTTGTAAGACATTTTTACTTCAGCATAAAAAAAGCCTCCCCACGTGACGGCCGGTCTAACGTATGAATAAACATGGATCACAATGCTAGTTTTGACACAGAAGAGGTTGAACATATATATTCAAATGCATATGATTATAATTATGAGCCTGCTAGGCGTCCAAGAGACCAGGAGCAGCCAAGGATTAGAAAAAATAACGGCCATCGGCGAGAAATGGAGCTTTGGTGTGAGGAGAACCAGTGGAGAACAGGACAGCTGTCTTGGTGAGTGACCAGTGGCGTTAGCTACAGTTAATGTTAATTAACTAATTAATGTTAGCTAACGTCAATCACATCACAACATTGTAAAGGACTGTTGATACTGATCCATAACAGAAACTAATGCGCAAGTATCAGCCGTTAATAATGCACTCCACCTACGTTTCGGTGCAACAAGACAGAGCGAGAGGAGCGAGAGCGAGAGAGAATACGGATTTCCTGTAAACGTTTTTTTTGATAGGCTTCAGCTGTGGAGAGTATGTGCTGCAGGGAGGTGGATGCACCTCGCACAACGCACCCGGGAACGAAAGCTAGCTCCGGTCCTTTTCCCGTGAGGGAAACTGTGGACTCGATGTCCTGACAGGCTTGAGTTTGTGCAACCTGCATAAACACAAGCTCACCATGATTACAAATGGTGAAATGCAATGTAAAATTACAGAAAAAATACCAGCTCACTAAATCACAACCGCTCAAACCAACTACAAACTACTACCGCGGATTGGGCAGAGAAGGAGTCCGAGAAAGTTAACTCCCCCATGTGACGTAATATGACACGTTTGACGTTAAAAAAAGCAGTTTTTAGTAGCAGAGCTCAAAACGGCTCCTTTTCCTCTGAATTTCTGCCCTTATGTCTTGTAAAACATATCAAATCCTGCATTAACATTTTGAATTGTAATTTTCAGGCACGGTTAAGCATAAATGTAGTAAAAAAAAACCCTGCAAGTTGCTCTTTAAGACAATTAGTTGAGGCATCATTTCAGCAGTAAAATAAACACCTACTTACAGCTCTGGAAAAACATCAAGAGGCCACTGCAGCATTATCAGTTTCTCTGGCTTTACTATTTATAGTATTAGTTTGAGTAAATGAACATTCTTTTATTCTATAAAATACAGACCACATTTCTCTGTGTTGGAGTTCAGCAGACACTGGAATGGAATGGCTGCCATACACGTAGAGATTGAGATTTAACAACAATTTGGAGTGGTCTCCTTATTTTATATGTAAAGATCTGAACTCAAAGTGTACAAATACACAGCATAGTAATTAGGATCACAAAGCATCTACACAGTGTGTAATTCAGCATGAAAAGGCACTTTGTATACATTTATGATGATTTTTGAACTTAAAGTACCTTTTTTAACTTTTAGAAGCGGTGCAGCTAGATTCAGATTATACATGAATACAGTGTAAGCAAGAGAAGGCAACACAGGTAGGGAACATTTGTCTAAGGATGTGTTGTCCTATTGAAGTGATCAAAATCCAAATTGTATTTTGGTGATTTTTCACTAAAAAGCTCCCATGTTGGTTTGGTATGGATGGCACATTTCAACAATCCTGTTTGCTGAGCTGACAACACCAGGCTATTTAAAAATATCCACTTCTACTCTGCACTTGCATTTCAAAACATGTGTCAAAACGAACTTCTATAAAGCAGCACGTTACACTAAACAGATGAATAGCAGCTAGGCTTGTTTACATCTGTGTAAAAAGTGTGGAGATGCAAACTGTTTGCAGCAGGATGAGTAAATGATTCCCCAGATCTCTTTAAGACAGTGATCCGTCAGTGTTTGTTTGCCTCATTAGAAAATGATACACAGGAAAGGTAAACCCGCAAAAAGCGTAAAAGGGCCTCTAACAAAATGAGGGGATGCAAATATTCTTGATACTGGCATTTGCAGCCGTATGCACACACACAAAACCACAGAAAACTATGTGTCCTTACAGGCACTGTTGTCCTCCAGGGTGGGGGGGAGGAGGGGGTTGTTGTGCGGCAGAGGCTTGGCGTAGAGCATGTGGAGGCGAGGCACGAGCGAGGCCGGCGGGCAGTGCACCCTCTGCTCCTCCGCCGTCTCCATGGAATCCGCCGGGTCCAGGAAGGAGGAGGAGACGTCTCTGTGTGAACACGCCAAGAATGAGCAGCAGATAAGCACTTAAGGGAAAGTAAACTAAATGCTGTCTCTTACTTCTCGTCGGCCAGAGCGCTGAGAGCGGGGCTGACGGAGAGGATCCCGTAGACCTCCAGTGTGTCGTTGAGTTTGAAGCCGTCCCATTCTGCGTACACCTGCCGAAAACACACACCTGTTAGCTTCTGCTCTCCACTGGAGAGTCTGCTGAGAACAGTGGGGTCTCTGAAAACTCCTCGTCATTTCATACCCTCACTGAGACTTTCCAGTCCATATCATGGATTTTCTTGAAAAAAACAAGGCTACAATTCTGTTTAATTCATGGGAACGTGCAAAATTCTATAACTCTACACCAAAATTAAAATGATGAAAGTGTGATGAATCTGCAGTTATTATTAACACCCCTTTCCCACAAGATACAGTTTTAAGGACATTTAAATAAGCCTTTTCGGACTAATATACAGTTAGGAAGATCTGTGAACAAGATGTGATCGGGCTATATACAAACTACACAAAATGAATATGTGGTTGCAAGTCAACTTGAGCAGATAATAATCTTTGAAGGTGACTGATTCTTTTTTGGAGTAAAACATGATTTATTTCCTGATTTTGATTACTTTAAAACATTCAGCAACAACTCTTTACATAAACACATGCTGTACATTTTAAGTTAGGGTTTTCAGTAGTTGAGTACACATTTGAACACAATTCAGTGCAAAATGTAATTGGGGAGGATAAGAAATACATAGACCAAAGAATACACACCTTGACGAGGCAGGAGGGGCCTTTCTCTCCGGGCAGGGGGAAGTTGAGGTCGAGGTGGGAGGCAGGTGCCGTCTGGTTGGAAGGAGCTTCTGTCTCCCGCCGCTTACACTCACCGTTGCCATGGTGTTCTGTTGGACTCTGAAGACCTGCAGTGAGACAGGGAAAAGTCTACATTCATGGCCAAAAAACACACAATATACTGTAATTGTTACATATCAACATATATATATATAAAAATGTCAAATAAATCAGAGCTTTTTAATTATTTACAGCTCATCTTTCCGTCAACCTGTCTCTACCCCTGCTGCAGTTAGCAGTGTCCTACAATCTCCCAGAGTGCCTAGAGGCAACCCTAACATCACTAATACGTGTGTTATACATGTCAGAGGAGGAGACGCATGCTGGAGCAGATAAAGGGACTAATTGATCATAATGCAGTAAAACACTACCTTCCAATGTGAATTTGATTGGTTGCAAAATGTCTTTATGGGAACAAGACACTTCTGTTTTTGAATTCTACTCCATGTTTACACACCAGTATGCTTTTCCCTCTGCTTCTGCGGCTGCGGCTGTGTGTCCATGTCATCGTCTTCCTCATAGCTGCGTTTCTGTCTCGTCGGAACATAAGAGGTGGACGGAACCACTCTCGCTTGGCTTGAGCTAGCATAGCTGTGCGACAGAATTAAGGAACAACTAGGGAGCAGTTTTCAAAAACACTTGTTGGGTCCAGCAAAGAACAAAAGACCAAACCCTGTTCAAGGGAAATCACAATTTTTTAAACGCACAATTTGGACAAATAAGGATATCTCTTTCACCCAGGGACTCTCTCCGGGGATTGGCACGCAGTAGAAAGTCTGTCTCTCTGCAGTCACTGTGTTTTTGGAGTTCAAATCCACCTGGAGATAGAAAATGTTTTCTGTTAGCAAAGCTGAAGCTACATTGAGGTATGTTTAATATCTCTTAGTGGAGAGGGACTTACCCCACATTCCATCACATCTTTGTACTTCCCGCATTTCAACACCTGAGGATAGCCAGAAAGTAAAATTAGATGCAAATGTGATGACATCAAACACATTATCAATGCAAAAAACTGGACACATGAGAGGATTGTAATTGCAAATATCTGCACAGGAGACAATGAAGCGCTTACTTTTGCCTTTGTAGAGGGATCAACAGCCTCATACGCTCCCATGTAGAACTCTGGATCGAACATGTCTTGGATTAAACAGCGGAACTTCACCAGGCTGTTGGGCTTCATGTAGTGCAGCGGGACATCGTTCAGAGAGGGGACCTGCGATAGAATAAGGACTGGTGTCAAATGCAGGAACTGAAAGAGCATTTGACATTGACAGGGCTCTTTGAGGAGTTTACAGTCGAAAGGATCTGCAAGCTGCATTACCCAGGTCTGAGCTTCCTTCTCTTTCAGGTGATCTTTAAAGAATTCAACCGCTTTCGCCTCCCATCCAGAGTTCGGATTGTTCTGGGAAGCAGCTGGAAACATAAATAACAAGAGCATTATATGATACTTAAAGTGACAAAATCTTTAATTGGTCAGAATATTAGAAAAAGTTGTATCCAAAAAAGATTATACATTTATATGTCAGAACCATGCACATTCAAAGATATAAAATGATGGACATAAAATATATAGGATTGTCCTTTCAGATTGGAACAGAAGAACAATAGGCAAATTATTACTATTTTATTAAACAAAATGAATAATTAAAAAAATAATGTATATGGATAAAATACATCTGAATAAATTAAATAAAAGAAACATGAAAATGTTTTATTTCAGTCTAGAAATGTTGCATATCTTCCCTTCTTACTTCTTTTTAAACCTTTAATAACAGCATACCTTGGCTTTGAGAATCCCAGACATTAGATGGGCTAAAATATCAAATAAAGTAAGCATGGGATAAAGATAGAAATAATTATGCGTGTAATTTTTATGGAGCAATGCGTTTCTGAAACAATAGTTATTGTCACTAAGTGTTAAGAGAAGTTAGAGAAGTTAAGAACGTTTTAAATTACTTTAACAAACTTTAGACCCGTGAATGCCTCATGTTGTGAATTGTTGGATGTGTGCACACAGGTCTTCAAACCAAACTACAAACCCAGCACTTCTTGTAAAGAAAAGTGAAACAATGCGCTCATACAAGCTGCAACAAAGCAGCATCGGCAGTTAAAGCACACAACTAAGTTATTAGCCATTTCTGAATGATTGAAAAAGACTAAAAGGGATGAGCATGGTAGTTAGCATGGTAAGTAGCCATAAAGCTAACTAGCTAGGTTCACGCGTTAAAGTTAGCTGTCAAGGAGAGAAGTTCCGGTGTGTCTCTTACCGAACATCCCTTCAACAACACCGAGAGGGTTGTTAATCCAGTCATGTGTGGTAGGCATTGTTGGCCGCTGACAAAAATCGCAACAATATTTTATTTTAAATAGCAGAATAAAATCTCTGGGAAAACTCTATTTTGTTGACTTTCGGCACACACCGGATGGCAGAAGTCAGGGCGGGAAATTTGCGTCACCAGTCGAAGAGCGTTACTCGTTTGTTTTGTTTACAGGGTCAATCCGGAGCACGGAGCTATCACACTTTCTGAATTACTGTGCCTCAGTGGGTTAGGTGATTTGATTTAAGGTTGCCTGTAAAGTGAGACTAAAAATAATAAACTTTTTATTTTAAACTATTATAAATCAATAATATCAGTTTGTTATTTAGCATATTTAAAAGGTTATAATGTCACCTTGGAGCTAATCTTGTTGGCCTGTAGGTGGCAGTAGTGTGTGAGAGTGTTTGGTTTTCCTACAACCAACGAAGTGCTGTCAAAGGACCTGCACGATTTCCGCAGATCTACAAACAACATGTCGTGCTGTGTTAACTCTGTTAATGAGTTGGAGATCTGTGAAAATCTGTGAGGGCAGGGACAAGCTTTCCCTGGACCTGAGCGTTTACTGCCTGCCTGCGCCAGTAGTGGCTACGTGTAATTCAAGGGAAAATGGCAGATAGGAGAATTAATAATGTTGCCAACACCAGTGCAAATTTACTGTTCAGCGGCGCTCCGGAGTTTAACTTCAACCTGCCTTTCATGCCAGTGAGTCAGGCCACTGGTCCGGCGGTATTGTCAGGAGGTAAGCAGCAATACCGACTGAGAAAATGTCTAAACATTAACTGTGTCGTTAGCAGGCTAAGCTAACAGCTAGCCCAGTTCCTGTGCTGCTTTAAGCTGTCATTTAGTGTAAAAGAAGGTTAAACAGCGCGTATGAGCTGACTGAGAGGTTAGCCTGTTGACAGTGATGTGTTTTGGTCAGACTGTCCTCTGTCTGATGTGACATGAAGAGGATGTGAAGCTATTTGGGAGTCATATGATCAAAACATGTCCTGTCTTTAAATTGGCCACATCTTGCTATCGAAGTTATTTTACAAGTCCTTTTCTATCAAATCTATGAGCCATTAGCTGCTGTTTGTTTCCGCTTCCACATAATCCTCAATGTAAGGTCTGTGTTGTGACAGCTGATGTACTGTTATATAGAGCTTAGTTTCCTCCTCCAATTCTAACCAGTTTATTAAATACATTTGCCAGAAAAATAAACGTTGATTGATTAATAATGTAAATGTGTAATCACTGATTTAAATGTCTTTACTGTGAGAATATGATGCTTGTAAATTGAGTAAAAATCAAACATTAGGAGAAAACATGACATTTTAAGATGTCACCTCGGCCCTGCATAATTTTGATGTCCATTTTATCAAACGTTTACCTGGGCTGTCCCTTGCAGAATCACAAGTAAATGTGCTAAACTTCAATTTTCTGTTTTGATTTAATAGAAGACTCGACTGATGTTGGAGAAGAAGACAGCTTTCTAGGACAGAGCTCTGGGAATGGGACAGCCCCCTCTACATTCAACTACTTTTCCAGCCCCTCAACCAGCAGTGACCCGTTCGCAGCCATCGGCCAGGCACCATGCCCCCCGCCGGCCCTCTCCGCAGCCCCAACATCAGCAGGGCCCGTTTCTGTTCCCAGCAGTATGGGCATGGCCCCGGTGGCCCCTCCAGCTTCACAGATGAACCCCTCTCCTCAGGCGTTTGGCAATGCAGTTTACCAGAGCGCTATGGGCCGTCACACTCCTCCCCCCGCCTCAATGACCCCACCACCTCCCCAGATGCAGCAACAGAGTCATAACCCGTACCGACACACCGCCAGCAGCAGCAGAGCCAGTCCCTATATTCCAGCTCCAGAGGTCCTGCCGCCAACACACACACCTCAGCAGAATCCATACTCCCTTGGCTCTCCGCCGCAGACATTCCCTATGTCCGGCCCCTCATTCACAAAGGTACATATCAGCTTATCAGTGACTGTGTTGGTTTAGCTTTTTTTAAGATACTTAAACTCATACTATCTCCACTGGGCGTAAGCCTATTGGAGATAATGTGTTCTGTTGTCTCTCTGTGTGTCTTGTCCATCAGCCAAATAATTAGTTTGCCCTAATTTGTGAATTGTAAATTCAAGGAGTGGTTACAGGGATTAACACTGTTTGAATAACCCAGTGTATTTGCTGTTCTATACAAGTATTGACTGCAGACTTCTCACTCCCCGTAACAGGCTGATCAACAACTGCTTCAGTAGTAAATGAGAATTTCTGAAAATCACTTAACCTTAAAACAAGCTATAGATTTCACATGTTGACCTTGAACTGAAGCATCTGCAGATTCATTCCAAGATATGGATAAGTTGTGATGCACTCAAGTGTTATCTTTGTTGTCGGATGGATTTGAAGGGAGCTGAGATATGAGAAAGTGCACTTTTCTAGTTAGGTTAATAAATAAAATGCCTCAAATAACATCATAATTATTGAAGAGGAGTTTATAATTAGTATTCCTTCTTCAGCCTCCTCCCACACAGTACCAAGGGCCTCCGCCTCCACCCACCACTGCTGGAGCCGTGGTTCCTGCTGGTCCCATGATGCAATACAACTACAACATCTACGAGCCTGTTCAGCCTCACTGGTTCTACTGCAAGCAAGTGGAGTCAAAGAGCGTCTGGCTTCCTTTCAGCATCATCGACTCCCTTCAGCTGGAGGAGACGTATAACTCAGGTGAGGTGACTCGTGCTAATTTAGTGGGAATGTTTCTCTACAGAGAAATCAGAACGTGTTGGTGCTCTTAATGAAACTGTGATCTGTTCTGATGCTTTTATTCTTCCAGTTCAACCAGACCCAGAGAATGTGATCATACGTACGGATGGAGGGCGTTACGACGTGCAGCTTTACGACCGCATGCGCTCCTCGGTGTTCTGGGAAGAGGAACCCACGGAGGTCCGGCGCTGCAGCTGGTTCTACAAGGGGGACACGGACAGTCGCTTCATTCCTTACTCTGAGGAGTTTAGTGAGAAGCTGGAGGTTTGTACCACTACTTCATTGATCCAGAAACAGATCTTGTGTTTATCAATCATTTACATTTTTCATCCAGTCCTTTATCGACTCTATTCTTTTACTATGTATTGTAATGTAGCATGTTTTTAACTTTAGGGAGAATATAAGAAGGCTGTGTCCACCAACCAGTGGCACCGCAGACTGGAGTTTCCATCTGGGGAGACTATTGTCATGCACAATCCGAAGGTAAACCATCGTTGATTATTGTACAAGGTTGTGTTTGTGATAATAAATCCTATTAGTTTAAAAGTACTTTTCTTCCATAGGTGATTGTGCAGTTTCAAGCATCCTCCATGCCGGATGAGTGGGGCACGACTCAGGACGGGCAGACCCGGCCCCGAGTGGTGAAGAGAGGGATCGATGATGACCATGATGAAGTGCCAGACGGTAGTGAAGTTCTTTATTTAATTTTAGAATAAAACTACATTTGTACTATGTCACTAAAGCTTCCAGACATCATTAAAGACAGTGAAGTCGCATTACAGTTAATTAATGCTTTAGTTTGGGCATAAATCCTGTTAAAGGCACACAACAAATATGATGAGGAAAAAAGACACAAACAATGAATATATAGATATTTATATATAATTAAATAAATCAACTCTACAAAAGTCATAGCAGATTAAACGTTGAGGTATCATGTTGTGAATGGATTGCAGCCTAATTGCAAACAGTTCAGGTTATATGTGCAGATGTAACCATGGCGATAAGTGAAGGTGTAGAAGTCAAATTCAACATTTCCAACCTGTTCATCTCTTCCAGGGGAGCTCCCGTCAGTAGATCATCTGGTGTTCATGGTTCATGGAATCGGCCCCGTGTGTGACCTGAGGTTCAGGAGCATGGTGGAGTGCGGTGAGTGCCAGACAGTCAGGCCTTTAGTCAGTGAATCTCCTCCATGAAGGTATTTATGTGGTTAACTGAACAATTCCTTTGTGCTCTCAGTGGACGACTTCCGCAGCGTGTCTCTGAAGCTGCTGCACAGTCACTTTGAGAAGAATCTGGACGAGCAGACCATCAGCCGGGTGGAGTTCCTCCCTGTGCAGTGGCACACGGCTCTGCATGGAGATGCTACCGGGGTGGACAGGTGAGGAGGGCAGGATGAGGGAATACTTCACACCCAAAATGACCATTTGTGTATCAAAAACTCAACATGGGTCTCTAACTTCTCAGATGCCTCCACAGTGAATGATGAATCCAAAAACAGAGAAGAGCTGTACAGCTGGGGACTGTTTTATATTGTGGAATAATACTTAATTGGTGCTGTTGTGACTCAGCAGCAGCAGCAGGACATTGTATGTGATTTGAAACTAAATAAGGTACAGTGTTTGGGTTCCTTGTAATGAACCCAGTGAAACTAAGTTTGGTTTTAGTCTTTTTTGAACAGAAATTGAGCTCTTTGTCTCAGAGGAATAAAACATTAAGAAAAACATAATACCAACAGTCCTGCCCTTTAATCTTCTTTCTATTGTAATATTTGATCAATTATAATCTCATTTTTGTTTCTTTGCAGGAGGATCAAGAAGATCACGTTGCCAAGCACTGGACGTTTACGTCACTTTACAAACGAGACTTTGTTAGACGTGCTTTTCTACAACAGTCCCACTTACTGCCAGACCATCATGGACACAGTTTCCCACGAGATTAACCGACTGTACGCCCTGTTCATGCAGAGGAACCCCAATTACAGAGGTCGCATATCAGTTGCTGGACACAGCTTGGGTAATAAGGCAGCAGATGGATTAGCTTTCACTGGCATGTGTTGTTCCTTCTGTTTTTCACCTAGATTCCATTTCCTCCTCAGGTTCTCTGATTCTCTTCGACCTGTTGTCAAATCAGAAGAACGCCTCCTCTGCACCGACCATGCCAATCATACCCACTGCCAACGGAGAAACCAAACAGGTCATTCACTAGTTAACATGAATAATGAAAAACATAGAATATGTATTTCCCCCTCGATGTGATTCATGTAATAATTTATTCTAAATGTTTCTAGTTCTTTGACGTACAATACATAAATGTGAATTCTGGCTCTTGCATCAGGTGGCAGCCCCCGTGACGCAGAGAAACAATGCGATCACCCCTCCAGCTGTGGGAGAGGAGCCAAAAGAGGATGAGGAGGAGGAGTTAGAGGATCTCTCCACCATGCTGGAAAATCTGGGCTTGTCTGAGTACAAGAGCACCTTTGATGAGGAGAAGATTGATGCAGAATCTTTTGTAAGAACAAAAGCCTCCTTTGCTTTTTTGTCATAAAGTAAAAAACACCACTTTAAATAATCCAGACATTGGTGTAATACATTCACAAATGTTCACTTTTATAAGATGCTGATCGTCCCTTTTTCACGCTTTTTCCAGCTGATGTGTACAATCGACGACATGAAAGAGATGGCAATCCCGCTGGGTCCCCGGAAAAAGATCGCCAAGTTTGTCAAAGAGAGGGAGAATAAGCAGGTAGGTTAGTCTCTGCAGTAACCGTGGAGACTGCAGACAGACGGTGACGGTTAACATCACTGTCTTTGTTTCTCCTCGGCAGGCGGCACGTCAGGCGGCCCGGGAGAAGAAAGCCGAGGTCAGCCAGGCTGCGGCGTCCCCCCCACCAGCTGCTGAAGCTCCCCCCGAGTCCTCGGTGCTCCCAGTGGGCAACAGCATGCACGTCCACGTCGACTACGACTACTTTGAAGTCGGCACTGGACAGGTAGCTGTGGAGGCGGACGTTGAAGCTGATCTTGAATTTGAATTGATAGATAAAGAACATGTGTTGCTCTGCAGGTGTCGGTGGTCTACCACGCTCTGGACTTTGAGCCGATGAATTTCTTCGCCCTGGGTTCTCCCATCGGCATGTTCCTGACGGTCCGAGGACTGGAGAAGATCGAGGAGGCGTACCAGCTGCCCACGTGCCAGGGGTTCTTCAATATCTACCATCCGGTATGCAGCTCTTCCATATTTTAAATCCTTAATAACTGCTTCTCAGCTGCAGCCGCTCCAACGTTATTTTTGCTTTATTGAGTTGTATCACTTTTGTATCGTTCTTTTGTGCAACTCTGTCCAAATAAGGGTTTACCGGATATCCCAGAGCTTCATTTATAACGTTGACATTCAAACATTTGTAAATTTTTCTTATGTCTGTTTATTATTTTCAGTAATAGTTTGCAGTTGCAGATACAGACAGGATTCTCTAATATGTTTACTATTATAATATTTGTAGAATTAGATTTCAATGGTGGCTGCGTAGTAGATGATCCAAACATTTCCAATTGCTTCAGGTTTTTGTAAAGTATAAAAAAAGTCTTATTTCCTAAATGATCACTTAACTCATTACATTTGTCATTCAATTGAATCCATATTAAAGGAAGTCATGCATCTTTGTGAGTGGTGTACATTTCATATCGTCACTGAAACCTAAGGCGCATTCACACCGCAGTACTTTTCCCACAAAGGCTCATGAGAATTTAGTTCATCAGAACTCTTTAGTTCTGATGAACTAAGTACAGATCGTGTTCACACCGGAATAAGTCCCTGGGTGTGATTTGTAAAGTACAGTGAAGAATGTCGTACATGTGTACTGCTGTTTTCATAAAAAGTTGAATAACTTTGTTTCACTTATAATCCTTTTACATAAATGTCCTCCCCGACGGATTGTAAGTTTAAGTCCAGGTCATAAATCCAATATTAAGAGTTACCGCGCTTTATTTAGACTAATGTACAATAAATCTGTGATTATGACCCAGGTGTGATATCCTATACGCGACGTACGGAATCTGTAGAAAATTGGACGCGAGAAAGTAATAAAATTGGGTGTAGAAGAGACAATTGGGTAGTCGTTTCGCTTTGTTTATACACTTGTATTTTGTGTGTTTTTCAGGGAAAAGAAAAAAAAATTTGGTGTGGCGGTCGACTTGGTGGGATATTTATTTACGATTGTCTTGTCGGCTAAGCGAGACGACGGGACAATTTCCGTTTCGTTTTTTTTTTTTCATTTTTTTTTTTGTAACATTTTAACGAAAATCGAGATCATCTTGAAATGATCCAAGAACACCTACCAGTTTAACTTGAAGAAGTAAAAGTGAAAAACCAGCCCTGTCGACTTATTTAATCAAGAAAGGAAACGACTATAATTTTTTTGGGTGAATGTGCTCGTTGTCGAACGAAACACCAAACTAACAAACAATTCTACTCTACTTAGTTGACCTCCTCGTCACTGATACGAACCCCGACCTCCAGGTAATTCGCCGGGCTTTTCCGATGACTCGTCTTTATTTCTTTTTTCAAGTTCTGAACCGGAGTTTTAAGTCAGTCCTTTTTACTAACGGTGGATAATTTTTTTTTATATCGAAGAAGGTTCGATGTTTTTGTTAAACCGAGTCTAGTTAGTAAAAACTTTTATTATAACACGTCGGGGAAACCACTTTTGGCCCAACGTTGCAGTCCACAGAACGGCAAAAAACTTTAAGAGAGACGAAAAAGGAGGAGGAGGAAACCAAAAAAAAAAAAAAAGAAAAAGAAGCAACTCTCTCGTAAGATTTCGTGTGTGGACTGAACGTGGTAAGAATGGCCCTTTCCCACGACGTTGCTTAAGTAATAAAAGTTTTTTACTAACTGACGGTTAACAAAAACATCGAGATTCCTCCGGTAAAAAAAAAATTTATCCCACCGTTAGTAAAAAGACTCGACTTAAAAACGTCGTAACTTTGAAAAAAGAGAATAAAGACCCCGACGGACATGGAAAGCGGGCGAATTACCTGGAGTCGGGGTCATCATGTCGGACAGAAAGGTCCAAACGTAAGTAAGTAATTGTTGTTTAGTTTGTGTTCGTACGACAACTGAGCGACATCTCCCACACAAAAAATAATAAGTCCGTTTCTTTCTTGATAAATAATCGACAGCTGTTTTCCTTTTACTTCTTCAACGTTGAACAACTGTAGTGTTTATTGGTCATATCAGATTGACTCCCCGGAATTTTCGTTCAGAGTGTTAGAACAACGAAATTGCTCCGTGTCCCTGCTTACGACAAAGACAATCGTACATGCATAAATAATCCCCACGGCAAAGTCGGACCGCCACACGAAATTTTTTTTTTCTTTTCCCCTTTGAAAAACGACACAAAATACAGTGTTACACGGAAACGACTACTCCCCGAATTGTCTCTTCGTACCACCCCCAATCTTATTACTTTCTCGGTCCAATTCTTCTGACGATTATCGTCGGTCGGGCGGATAGGATATACACCTGAGTCGGATCAATCACCAGATTTATTGTAATTAATTCTAAAATAACCGGGTAAACCCTCTTGTAATAATGGATTATGACCACTGAACTAAACTTGCCAATGTCGGGGACATTTATGAAAGATTATAAGGAAACAGAAGTATCCAAACAATTATGAAATCGAGCATACAGAGTGTGTACGAATTTGCAACTGTACTTTACCAAAACATAACGTAGAGTATTAACTCTCCCTCCGCAATCTCGCGGCCGACTAACTCCTCGATGTCCTCTCGGTCGGTCTCTTCACCGAAATAAGAGAGTGACTTTCGGTAGAGACGGACGGATGAGAGTAACAGAAAGTAATCCCTAGAAAACGATATATAAGGTCGGAAAAACACATCGGATCAGAATGTCAGCGGGAACGCGTGGACGAATGTACATGTAGTAAAGTTCTGTGTTACGCGAATACGCTCCTCTCTACTAAATAAAAAAAATTTTACGAACCCCCCTATGGGAGAAAATTTATTTAATGTCTTCGCGATGTCTATAGTCGACGGGATCAGTCCATTTTTTCAAGACGACATTCATAAAACTAACTTCTATTATACTAGACTTCATTTGAGACGGGTCAAGATATTAAGATGATATTTATTACAGTATAGTTTGTACAGTATCACGAGAAACTTAGATGGTAGAGTAAGGACTTAACAAGTATTAAGTTCCTGTTTACACGTATGTGTTAACACAAAAAGTAGACATATGTTCATTTGATACTTATCTTTTATCCCCCCCGTTTAAATCTTTTAGAATTTTAGCTCCTTTTTACTGTACTTTATTTTGGTTTCCCCTTAGCAAAAGTCTGAATCCACAACTAATTACACGTTTGACAGACGGTACGGGCTGGGGGAATACCAAGAACATCTAGAGAACTCCTTAGTCGTCACGACACAGAAAGTCCCTACAGACCTTTTGGTTGTGTTCAGCAACCTAATGTTTGAGACGGTTTGCCATGTTCGATGTCGGACGCCCCTCGTCCCATTGCGACTGCTCCTATTTTCGGGACCTCCTTTTCTCAGCGCTAGACGGTCGGATGGTCGATCGTCTCCCGACTGAGACCTCCGGCGTAGTCCCGATGAGACGAACTTCGGGAGAGCCTACCCGGGAAGAGGACGTCCTGCGGATCGAGCTAACCGGCCTAACGGGGAGGCAAGTCGTAGGGGTGGAAGTGGACTCCGGGGGAGGAGGCGCCCCCCCGAAGCGCCTCGCCCCCCCGCCCGGAAGAGTAGACAGAATACGGAGACGCACTCTTTGGATGTGACTCCAATTTGTCCCGTTGTCTTTTTGTCTTTTAAGTGTAACTAACTGCCTCGAGTGTTCGTCTCTGTAGAGAGTGGAGCGGCGTGGAGACGGGGAGTGGGAGTGGAGGGCGCCGACGGGTCGAGGACAACAAGCCTACGACTAACCGATGGCTTACCGGTCGAGTCGGACTCTCGACCCGGCGCTCGCCTTCATCACCTCGCGGCGACGTTTTAGCAACCTCCCAGACCGGTCGGGCGCAGGCGTCCCTCCGGGACTACTTCGGTTTACGGAAGTCGCCAAGGCCGTCGGCGTAAGGACCACTCCCGAGAGGAAGTCGAGAGTTTGTTGTTTCGGCTAAGGGAAGTCTGGATTTAGGTTAGACCGAGACCTTTGCAAAACATTACTACCCAAACTTCATAGAAAAATATATGGTTTTATATATAGTTTGTTTTCTGTTCGGAATAAAACTGGTTAATATTCTAGATAAACCCCTTCCCCCCTTTCTTCTCGCTAGCGGAGGTGTAACACAAAATAAGAAAGACAGTAAAACTAAATTTTCTTATTCCGGGTGTAAATCAAACAACTGAAGTCGAAATTGTGAAAAAGACCGGTTGTCGATTTATACGAAATGGCCCAAGGCAGACCAATAATCGATAAAGTAAAACCTGTACGCGTGTAGCGATTACGTTCCTATCGACAGAAACTATCGAAGCACGGATTGGTTGAGTCGACGCGGTATTTCTGTACATTGAAAAAAAAAAAAAAAGAGTCCTTTCCATAATCCCGACGTGGAATAACTACTAACGGATCCTTCGATGTCCACTTCGCTGTAGACGACCACATAAATAGACCCGAGCTACGGTTCGTCCCTCTTACTTATTGTTCGACTCACAAGCATGGTTCCTACTTCGGAGAAAGGAGGGAAAACCGAACACACCTGGTCCGTGTCCGGAATTTCAGGCGTACGAGACCATTATAGTACCCAAAGTAGGACATCCGGTGCCCAGGTTTGACTTTCGTTTGTGCTCAGCAGCTAATATTCGGTAGTGCTATTCATTTCGGCGACGTCACTGAGTCGAAGGGAGAAGTAGTGTCGGGATTGGCGAATTTAAGTAATAAAGTAAGTCAGTAAACACCCGTCCAGTCCAATCCCACCTTACTGACTCGGCGCAAGTGGGTCCCTCATGAAAAGGTGAAAATCAAGGCTTTTACAAAACGCAAGTGTGGTTTTTCTCGGCGCTTGATTTGTAATAAAGTACTCTTGGAAAAAATGGGGGAAAAGGCAGTGGACGATCGCCGAGAGAACCGACATCTTTTCTCGATATTAAAGACTCAACCGACGCTGCGCTAACGTTTGGTGCCCGGGTGCAATTTGAGTTTTTTTCAACAACACTTCGCGTGGTAAACTAATTCGAAATAATCGTAAATCGTAATCCCGGGTCGACATCTGCGGTCTTCTCTAATTAAATACCCTGTTGTGTTTATTTTGTACGCCTCGCCACCCTCTACTCCTCCACACCGCAAAAAACCGCTAAATGAGCCTTTCGCCGGAAGTCAATCTTCGACGACCTTCGGAGGGACGACCTTTCAGAGGGTCCGTCGAAAATGACTTCGGTCAGGGGTTGTGGCCGACATGAAGGCCGGGCCCCGCCTAAAACCCGCGTCACTTCAACAAACACCCGACCGGTCAATATTGGGTTTCGGGGTCCTTCCTTCTTCCTTCACTGCAGTCGCCGGCAG